TTTTAGTGAATATAAAAAATATTTTAGTGAATATAGAAAAACAGATTTTAAATTTTTTCTTCAAGATTATAAGTTATAGGTATTTAGTGAATATAATTTGCCAATGGTATTAAATTATAGAAAAAGATTTATTTTAGACAAACTGAATTTTAGAAAAATATTTATTTTAGAAAAACAGAAAAACAGAAAAATATTTAGTATAATATAAAACAGATTTTATTATAAAAAATATTAGTGAATACATATTACTTTATTATTTTAGTAAAATAAAAAATATTTTAGTGAATATAGAAAAACAGATTTTATTATAAAACAGATTTTATTAGAAAAATAAATTATAGAAAAATATTATTTTAGTGAATTTATTATTTTAGTATAATATAAAACAAATTTTATTTTAGTGAATATATATTACTTTAAATATATATTAGTATAATATATTATTTTAGTGAATTTATATTTTACTTTAATACGTATTAGAATTAAAACACGTATTAGCATTTGAAATGTCAACTTTGAACACATATGAGTCAATAGTCTACAATCTATAATTTTTTTAATACCATTGGCAAATTATTTAACTAAATACCTATAACTTATAATCTTAAAAATAATGAATATATTTTACTTTATATGAGTCAATATTTTACTTTAAAAATAATGAATATATATTATACTTTAATGAATATATTATTTTAGTGAACATATTTTATTAGGTTGGCGTCGAAATAGAAAAAATAGATTTAAATTACATATTTTATTAAAATGATATATAATGATATGTAGTACAATTGTGCAGTATGGAATATTTTCGTTACTATCGTAGTTGGATGTACGATAGAACGTTATCAGGCAGACGTGGACTTACGGCAAATTTTGAGGAAGGAGTTAAAGGGTTTATCACGTGGGCATTTGCACAAGAATGTTGTCGACGTGAAGGAGGAGTGAGATGTCCTTGTCTTAAATGTGAATGTAGACGTATAATTAGTGACCCAGAGGAAGTAGAACGTCATTTGAAGAGGAAGGGTTTCATTAAAAATTATTGGGTTTGGACATATAATGGAGAACAACTGCCGAGTAACGTACATGCAGAGATAACTAATACAGACGCATCAAGCAGTCGATTTTTTGTTATATATATCTAACATTTTATTTGACTGTCATATAACTTGCAGGAAAGGTGTACTTGGCAGAAATTTGACGAGTTCAAAATTAAAAAAAATTTCAAAAGTAAGGTATCTAGCATATTATCTGACATGCTTAGGAATGCTAGACAACGTTGGGAAAGAGATCACACTCGTCCTAACTGGATAGGCGAGGAAATATTTGGTGAACTTGTTGAGTGGTGGAAGGCAGAAGATTTTCAGAGAAGATCTGAACATGCTAAAAAGATGAGGGCATCTGAAGCAGGTGGCTGTCTTAATACAGTTGGAAGTATCAGTATCGGCGAACATCGTCGACGAATGGTAATTATAACTATTTTTTAAAGTTTTTTTTTGTATTATTATATATATTTAATTAAGCTTCATTATTTTAATTAGAAAAAGGACTTGGGGAGGGAGCCACGAATTAATGAGCTATTTGTGAAGACTCGAACCAAAAAATCGGGCGACTTTGTTGACGGTCGTTCCAAATCAACCTTGGTAACTTGTTTATTTTAGTAGAATTCTTTTAATTTCATAATTACTATATAATTAAATTGTTTAAATTATATTTAATTTAATTTTTTTTAATGTGTGTGTAGGAGTTGTACCAGACATTGCTTGCCCAATTTCTAACTGAAAATCCTCAATATACGCCGATTGGGGATGCACCGCTTGATCCGCGCGTTGATCTTTATATTTGGAATTTAACGGTAGGCGGGAAGAGAGGTAATGAATGTTTTTTTGGTTTGGGGTCTTTGGCTGGTGATTATAGAAAAGGGGACCGAACTTTATTTCAAAGACTCGATGATGGGGAAGGAGGATCGCGTCCAGCAGAATTGACACCAGAAATGTTGGCAACAGTGAGACAGTTAGCTCTAGCTGAGGCGAGACGAGAGGCGGAGACACGTGAGGCGGCCCTAAAGGCCGAAATGGATGATATGAGAAATAGACAAAATGCTGAAATAGAGGAAATGAGGAAGCGACAATCATACATGGAGGCACAAATGCGAAAATATTTTGCCTCGAGATCGAGTTATTCTCCCAGAGATGATGACCAAAACGAAGATGAATTATTTAGTGACGAAGAATAATTTTTTTTATTAGTATTTTTATTTGTGACGTGAATATTACGTCACAACTTTTATTATTATTATTTGTATTTGTGATGTGAATTTCATGTAACTAAATATTTATATATTTTAAATGTATATTATTTTAATTTTAAATTTATATTTAATATTTAATTTATATTTTAATTTTATAGTAGCTTTCAGTTAATATTATTTATTTATTTTTATAATTAGATTTAATAGTGAAGTAAATCTCATGTCACTAATTAGTGACGTGGGAATCACATGGGAAGAATATTAATTCAGTGTGGTTTCCCACGTGAAAACAAAGTCACAACTTTGTGACGTGGATATCCCATGGGTAATAAAGTATACTTGTGTCAGGAAAGCGTGCAGCCAAAGTTGGTAAAGTAATGTTCCCACATGATTTTCACGTCACTAATTAGTGACCTTGTTTTCACATGGGAACATTTCCTCTTTATTTTGTTGTTTGCGACGTGGTTAACATGTCACAACTTTGTGACGTGTTTACCCCCGTGGGAAAAAGTTCCCACCATTGCATTACCGGCGTATTTTATCCACGTCGCAAATTCTGTTAGTGAAGTGCTTTTTATGTTAGTGACGTGAATATCACTGAAAAATGCAATATTTCTTGTAGTGATCAATCATATCCTTTGCTCCATAGCTCTCCGAAAACTCTGTAAAGAAGAAAGATAATAGGTGTTTGTCATCAACGCGTTCATTTTCTTATTTTGCTTGGATCTCATCAAGATGCAATTCCCACTGTTTGCAGCATTGGGGAGAGTTATTTATTTCCTTAAGACTAAAAAAGTGAAAGATATGAATGGGCAAGCTTGTAAAGAACTTCAAGTTTTATGGGAAGAGCTTGAGAAATTTAAATTTGATATTATTACTTGGCTAAAGTCCCGTGTTCAATCTGCTTTAGCAATGAAAAGTTTTGTTGAGAAAGTTATGCAAGTAGAAAAACTCAAGGAGATTGTTGCAGATCAAGAGCTGAAAATGAAGATGCTAAAAGAACAGTTGGTTGCTGCTGAAGAAAATCTTGTTGTAGAAATCTTGCTGCAGGAGAAAAATGTTATTTCCAAAAATATCTAAAAGTATTGATACGTGCATATATGTAGGTAATGTTGATACGTGCATATGTAGGTATGTTTTTTTGATACAGTACTTAAAAAATTATATTGGTTATAACCAAAAGTACAAAAATATACTATGAGAAACAGTGCATAAATAATATATTTTTTTATAGCTGTTGTAACAACAGAAGCAGCAGTGCATTATGTATGTCATCCGATTTTTAACAACAGCATTTTTGTAAAAGATTAAAACGTGTAATCAACTGTATGGTTTCTATGCGAAATAATGCTTATAGTTTACATGCTTATAGTTTCATATGATGAATAGTTTACTATGCAATATGATACTTCCATAGCGTATCTGTTATTATATTTTTTCAGTTTGTCGAATAACAATTTAAATAAATACATAGCAGAACATTTGGTATGTCATGTATTTATAATTTCATGATGTTTAGTTTGGTGACATTAAGTATTACTCATTTTTAATGTAGGTGACTTGAAAGAATTTTAAGTAGTGATTTAGTCGATAGATCAGAAGTTAACGACAATGATGTTTTCGAACATTTGATATTAGAATTTTTGAATTGTCTAAAAACTTCTGGATTGTCAAACCGCTTCATTAAATTAAAATTAAATATTGGCACAACTATCATGTTGATAAGGAATTTGGATCAATCAGAAGGACTTTGTAATGGTACAAGGTTGAGAGTTACTAAGTTGGTCAACCATATAATCGAAACAAAAATAATTTCAAGTATAAATATTGGAAACACTATTTATATCCGGAGAATGTTTTTGTCTCCTTCTCAATTTTCATGGTCATTCAAACTTATCAGACGACAATTCTCAATTATAGAGTCATTTGCTATGACAATCAACAAATCTCAAGGTCATTCATTGAACTATGTGTATTTATATTTGGTCAAGAATGTATTGAGCCACGGACAATTATATGTGACTATTTCAAGAATTAAGAGCAAAGTCGGATTAAAAATCTTAATACACGACAAAGACAACAAATCCTTACCTCAAACCACAAATGTTGTCTTCAAATAAATTTTACATCTAGGTACCATTTATTTTTTGTCACAATAATATTTTTTTCCATCAATAACTATAATATATCACTAATTGACCTTTCTCTAAATATGTTTGTAAGTTATGTTATCTCTGCAATTGCTCCTAACATTTTCTCAAGTAGCATTTGTTTCTGCAAGATTATTACAACTTCACTTTTTAATATTTTTTGATGGACACATGATGATTTTGTTATACAAACTCATCTTAATGGTAATGCTATATCTATTACATAGACTGCATCTCAAATCTATATTTCTAATTTCTTTCAAATTCATATTAAAATGAAACCCTTAATTTATCCTGTTTTATATCTTTCTCGTGCGTGCGAACACACAGGTCTTTTACTGGTTTTATTTAAATAATCATGCATTACCAAAAAAAATGACTGTCTATAGTTTATTGATGGTTTAACTTTTTCCAACCACCTTTAACATAAGCTGAATGTGATTATCAATGCAGTTTCTTTCAAATGACAAGCCACTAATAGAATTAAATCATTGTAATTTACCTGATGAAGACCACCATTATTCTTTTATAAATACACCTTTATAGTGTAACCAAGATTGAATATTCTACCTAGTTGTTTAACCTTTTGATGAAGCTTTTCAAGAGTTGGATTTTTTCAACGCTCCAGCATTCAAGTACATATAAAACTGCTTATCAGAGAAGTTTGATATTGTAGCTACAGGAGTATATCCAGAATATCGCCCATTAATCTTCGCGAAACAAATATCATTGATACACTTCAAAAGATCGCTCTTTTGCATAATTGGCTGAGCCGTGTATTCCACAAATGGCATCCACTGCAGTTAAGAACACTGAAGATTTTAAGAACCAGAAATACGGTTTAGCTTTAAGCGTTAAACTAAAATTATCGTACCTGAGCACCCTCTAGCTCTAAGTTCTGAATTTGGATCTCGGAAGAAAGGGGCCGCAACAAACACAAAAAGAATAAATCTGACTTCGCAAAGAATGAATTATGACTTTGTCTGTTGATCAGGTATTCAGATGAAAGGAAAGAAGAATGCTCAGTCGTCTAAATGATTCACCAACAAAAATTAGCAATAAATAAATGGTTGAAGCGCAAATTTTCCCATAGACAACGATATTGCCAAAAAGTGGACGCGTGACGTGTCAATATGAGATTTGAACCTTCTACCTCCATTTCGAAATGTCCACTTTCAATCATTGGAACTTCTGAATTGATAATATGTTCATACAAGTATGCTACCTGAATGCTAATACTTCTTCAAATTCTGAATCAACCTATAAAATTGAAAGAAACCAAGTGATATTAAGCTAATGCAACTGAAAACTTCATGAACTAGCTCACATGTAATTGTTACAGTGCATAATAATGACTTACTCCTGTCTCTTCTTTGACCTCTCTTACTGCTGCTACACAAATATCTTCTCCCTGTATAAGTTAAACAAGTAGATTGACGCAGAGGATATTAAACCAACAACAACAACAACAACAACCAAGTCTTATCTCACTAAGTGGGGTCGGCTACATGGATCAACTTTCTCCATAATGTTCTATTCAGAACCATACTTCTATCTAAATCGTTATTCTCGAGATCTTTCTTAATAACAAGTAGATTGACACAGCATATTATCTTGTACTAAAATGAGAAAGCTATCCAGCATATTCACCTGATCAACAACTCCGGTAGGGAATTTCCAAACTCCGGTTCCCTGAAATTGTCCACTATTTTCTTGAACAACTAGTACCTAATATCAATGAACCACAACAAAAGAAAACATATTAGCTACAAATAGACGTGATAAGCAAGATATGTGAGGAATTGTTAAGTGAAAAAAGATATTAATTGAAATAATAAGGATACAGCCCTCAAACGTCAAGGCAGTACTTTGAATTAACTACAATTCGGATTATGAAGTTGCCGTATATTATTATGAATATTTAAAAACAAGGAAATACCTCGTGTTTTTCATTCACAACAAATGAACTGATGCCAATCCGGTGTGTGGCATTTGCAGGAATAGTATTTGGAGTTTCAGGAATCCAATTTACAAGCATTAAATAGTTTGGTTCTGCATGGTGATACCAAAAACCTTCCTGCATAAAAGTGTCATTGAAAGAATGTCTGATACATAAAATTGACAAGTGACAACATTAGTAGAATTCCAATTGAAATTAACCGAATTTCTCAACAAAATCATCATCAATATGGTAAGCAATCGGGTCACCTTAACTAAAACTTCAGCAAGACTGACTAGATGGATAGGTAATTTTATCCAAACTCCCTTCTTGCCCTGCAAGACAATGTATATTCAGTAACTGAAATAAATATTTTGTCGGATTCTAACTTCCCAGCACGTATGTAAGGATAAAAAGTACCAGAGTTTGGTTGCACATAAGTGGCAAGCCTATTAGTTTGTTTCGATTTATTACTCTCTGGATAGCCAATCACTTCGAGTAAGGTAATGCAAATTTAAAATGATAATTTTTCTGGTAGACTATTCTTAGAATTTTAGTTGGGGTTAATTCAACGCTACAAAATCGGTTTTTAATATGAGGGATGCCTCCTACTTATAAACACATTGTTAGGCCATAAACCATGTAGTGTGAAACTCTCAACAGCCAAAATTGCTAAACTAGGAACTGAATGCAATCAAATAGGATAAAATTAGTTTATAAACAACAGCTAGGAAAGACTACCAGCTGCTTCCAATGTAAAATTGAAGCTCTAAGAATCAAGACGAACTTTGTAGAATCCATAGGCTGATCCAATTCCACTATAACACCGCCATAAAAATCATCAGTTGACGATAGTAGTTTACCCCGTTGAACTTGATCTTTTGATGCATTCTGTGATGAAATAGGTGAATTTGACATGCATCGAACTGGAACCAGGGTTTTCACTCCAATCTTAACTATCAACGAAAATTGAGAAAAAGGAGCATTAAAAGCGAGTAATTAGAATAGATTAACGTTGATTTGATTTGAATTTGAGGAACTACCTCTAGAAGTGGGTCTTGTAATTGTTCTTCTGGTTGCTGAAGATATAAAGCGTTGAGCAACATTTGCAAGATAGCGAGGATTGTTGCTCGAAGGGAAGATGATAGAGAGCTTTGGGAGCGATCTCAGCATCATGTTTTTGACGTTGAAGGATGAAAAAATGGAGATTTTCCATTTCAACTGGTTAAAAACGTGTATTGAGATTCAATATTTTAGATTCCCCTCTCTACCCTTTTCTTCATTTCTTTAAATTCTTTTTACTTTTAAAAAAATTATAGTTTTGGATAAAATCTGTAATTTTTATTTTTACAATTTTTCAAGTAGTAATAAAATTCAATTCAATTCTTGAAAATTATTAATACATGCAAACAATATCAAATGGTTCCATCAACAATATTTTCAATTTGAAGACATTATCATTAACAAAAACTAATAATAGAGAAAAACTTATCACTAAACTTATTTGCTGTGAAGCTCTCTTGATTTGTATGTGTTGATTGACTTGTGATTTGAGAATGAAATTAGCTTATAAGATTCGGTCATCAAAACTCTAATTTAGTCTCAAGTCTTTTCATCTATGTTCGTCAATTCCAACTCCAACAATTCGTTCGGACCAAAACTTTCAATCAAATTGTAAGACAACAATTATTTGTTATGGAATCAAAAGTGGAGGGTGTAATCTTGACATAAAAGATGCACAAAATTGTTGTTAATCCACAAATTTCCCAAAAATTCAAAATAGCTCAAAATCGAGTATTAGGTATGATTTCTAACGAATACGAATCACGGATCGTTCAACATCAAGTTGTGTTCATCTGGTTATTGCCTACGTTTTATGAATATGTTCTACCTAGAGTTCTTTATTGCAAACATGCATTTGAAGTTTGGGACAAGATTCATAAGTATTTCAATGCACAAATGAAAGGTAGGGTTCGTCAATTACGCTTTGAATTAAAGTCTATTGAATTCGTTCTAAGAGTCAAAGTTATTGCCAAATCTTTCTTAGTTGTGGGAGACTCAATTTCAGAACAAGATCAAATCGATTTGATCCTTGACGACCTTCCTAAAGAATATAATTTATTTGTTATGCAGATGTATTGAAACACTGAGACTCCATCGTTATATGATGTGGAAACTCTTCTCTATGTCTAAGAAGTACAATTCATTTTCGCACCAAACCTTCCGCTCGCAACTCATTTTGAAAACACTCTGATTTTGGAAAACGACAATTGCATTTTTTAATTTGGATATATTCACCCCTGTAGACTGTTTTTCTACTTCCATATTCACACCCAACATTTATTTATATGTTTGCTGCCAATCTTGCACATACAAGCCAGGAAACTAACGACTCCAGATGAGCATTTTGCTGTAATCGTGGGAGGGGAAATCGTTTCACAAGGAGTCAATGTCATGGCAGAGGTCTACCTGACATAAGAAATTGCCCCACGTGTCAGCTATATGAAAAATACGGACACAATGTAATTGAATGTTGGCATAAGTATGATGAATCATTCATGCCACATGTCACACCTAATCCCAACTTCAATGTTGCAAGAAATTCTTCCTCTAAGCAAGATTAGCCCAAAGATTCCACTCAAAACTCATAAGCCATGGCCATGATAGCTACCAAAAGCCAGCCCTATTCTTACACTCAAGAATATTCCTTTCCATCTCAGCTAGAATCCCAAGTGTGGTTTGCAGAATCATGTGCATCTCATCATCTTAGTCCTCGTGACTCTCATTTAAAATTTAAAAAACCTTATCCAAGTCTTAGAAAAGTGTGTGTTGGTAATGGCCAGTCTCTTTCCATAAGATTTTTTGGTTCTGTTGTGTTTTACTCTAAATCTGCTTTTATCAAATGTTAATTTTAGATACTATTCTACATGTGCCTTCAATCACAAGAAATCTCTTGTCTGTTTCCAAATTTTCTAGTGATAACAACGTAGTTTTTGAATTTCAAGCTGACAAGTGTGGTGTAAAATGTCAGGATTCTACCCTTAGATCTCTCAGGCTCCAACTTCATGAATAAGGGCTTGTATATTCCTTCTGGAGTTCAAAGCTACACTGCTTCCAAACTTGTTTTAGATCAATCAGATTCTTGTAATTCTATCACTCTGTGGCATAATAGGCTAGACATGTCAATACTAATTCTATCAAACATATTCTCAAAATTCTTAATATCTATTCTTCTAATAAACATGATTTTTATTTGTGCAAATCATGTACTCTTGGTAAAGCTCATAAAATTCATGTACTCTTGGATCCAAGTCTAAGTACCTTCTGGATTATACCTTACCAAAAATGTAGGCGAGTTATTCTTTTGAAATTGTCCCAACCTACATAATTCACTAGCTTCTGCACTTTGAGCACCCTGAAAAGCTCTAGTTGATTCAGCCATAACATTAGCCATAGTCTTCAAGGCATCATTTATCGCACAATCATTTCTTCCAATAGCCATTTCTTCCCACACAAACCATAACTAAATATAAATTGGTTGTAAATAGTAAAGCAAACATCGTTTATAGAAAATATTGTACTAACAGTGTTAATAGACATGTCATACACAAGAGCATAACAACCTCATAACACGCAAGGCCTGATGGACATTCCTTGCTTAAATGCAAACTATGTGACACCTTAAAACCCATTTTTTTCGTACGATATATAGAACATGAATTGTGGAATATTTATTTCATTTAGAAAACTGGGTATCACATTGACTCGAAATAACATCGCACATCTCATATATGACTACTTGTTCAAACCTTGAAACAAACATGGAATTTTAAAAGTGAATCCCAACCTCAATGTCAAAATAATAAAGCCTTATTACAAACCCAAACATACTAACTGACTTACCCATTCAGCATACATAAACAAAAAAGAAACTAATGGATTGGTCTTCTGCATTATCCGCCATATCCTTACATCGCAATTATTACTCGATCTCAATATGAGGATATATTGCACATAATTTTAAACCATGGAGACTTACGAACAAAGGGGCGAAAATACGTTCTACAAATTGTATGGTATAATTGAAGGTGAGAAAAATATACAAGAATGGGGGTTGAATTGTGTTTTGCAAAAATAGATTTACTTTTGAACCAGAGTTCAGATTCTAAAAACTGAGTTCAGAATCTGATAAGGTGCGGCAGAAATAAAGACAAAAGTATAGTAAAAATAGCAAAGAACATACAGTAGTTATCCTAGTTCCTCTCCCAACTAAGAGTACTTGATTTCCTTTGCTAAGCAAGAGATTTTCCACTATAATCAACCGAATTCCACTTGCTTATACACACTCGTATAAGACTTTTGTTTTTGTTCAAACCACTTGCCCAAGACTTCCCTTTCTTAGAGCTCGTGTCTAAGACTTCACTATGCTCAATCAGCTCCTGACCAAGACTTCTCTTGCTTAGACCGTCTGCCTAAGATTTCATCTTACTTAAAGCTTGTGTCTAAGACTTCACTTTGCTCAATCAGCTTCTGACTGAGACTTCTCTTGCTTAGACCGCCTGGCTAAGACTTCACCTTGCTTAGAGATCGTGTTTGAGACTTTCCCTTGCTTAACCAACCTCTAATTAAGACTTTCCTTTGTTTAGAGCTCATGTGTAAGACTTCAGCTTGCTCAAGCCTACAACAAGAGACTTTAATCTAAACAGATAGTTTAGAGAAGAAATAACTTACAATTACACTTGATAAAATATCAGAGGTGTTCAAATAATACAACACACTTTTACAAAAATTCTCAATCAACACACATAAATCACCTTGTTTTACTTTGAATTATCCTAAGAAATTAAGGAGTTGTTGTCTAAATCAGTGAGTTGTACACCTAGAAATTAGGTATAGTGATATTGTTAGTTCACCTTAAAATTGTAAGTCGATTCAATTCAAATAATGCACAATCATCAACGAGGGAAAATTAAGTGATTTGAATAAGATCTAACCACTTTCTCATTATCTGAAATTTTATCAAATTTTACTCGCATAATTATTTTCCGCAAAACCAATATGAAAATTCCCCTTAGTTACTTTAAATTGCACGATTACAACCTTGTTAAAATTAGGGGTGGAAAAACGGGCCGCCCGCCCTACCTTTATCCCGCCAAAAAAGGGGCAGGGCAGGCAAGCCAACAAAGTGAAATTGAGCCTAAAAATCTAGTCTGCCTGACCAAGGTGACGATTGGCGGGCGACAGATTTACCCGCCTATTTTTTTTATTTTATTTTATTTTAAAGATTAATAGGTTTTTTTTACATTTAGATTAAAATTTTCACTTATTTTTTAGATTTTTTTTATAATCAAGAAAACTCTTGAATTAGACTTGAGTATGGTTTATTTTATGAAATTCTTGACTAAGAAAAACTCTTGAATTAAACTTGGATATGGTTTGTTTAATGAAATTTGGATTTTTTTTAATAGGTGATTACATTTTATGTCTATATAAATTATACTTATAATATTTGTTGATCTATAGTAACCAATTAATTGGATTTGTCATTGTCAAGTACTTCTCGAGTAGGATGCATGTTGATTGTTAATTTCTACGCAACATGAACAAAGTGGCCACACACAAAACTATATCTACAATATTGAGTCACCACATCATTACTGTAACACATCATTGAGTAAAATTTTTATTTTGTCTCTATTGATTTCATTATTGAGTATTTAAAGTGCATCATCAAATATCTTATACTATATGGATATCATAGACAATGATTTCTTTTGACGTGACAAACTTAATTTATCAATATAACCATATTGGAGTTTTCATTGGCTTTTGATCTTACTATAAATAATACATTGTTTATAAAAAGATATGAACATTTTATCATATATAAGAGTGGGGTGACGTGTTTTAGATAAATTTCTTTCTTATTAGAAGATTAGATATGAAGATTTTCCTAGACTTTAAAGTTATTCTGAGTGAGAGCTTGACTACCCAACATAGAGTATTGGTTATGGGTGTAAGAATCAAGAGGAGAGCAAAAAGAATAAGTCACATGGAAGCCCTACATATCAAGTGGTGGAATTTGAAGGGTGAAAAACAAGAAAGTTTATAACACAAGATCTTGGAGAGATGTTTTGGACAATCACAAGGAAATGCAAATGTTATGTGGAATAAGA